AATGATGAATTTACTGGGTTCACTATTGATTTTGGTGGATCAGTTGCTTTATATGATTCTCTAACAGGTGATTCAGATAGTTTATGTAGCATCATTTTTGATGAGGACACTTTAGCTTTACTAGGAACAGATCCTATATGTAATGATGATTTTTCTATTATTTTTGGTGATAATCCTACTATCTAAGTTGGAGATACTATTTAACTAAAAACTGTATTTCTTTTGCAAGGATGTAGTTACAGATTTTTATAAATCCTACCTAATACATTATCTATACCAGCTGCCATAGATTAATCTACTCATAAACCTACAGTAAGGTTTACAGATTCTACATCTCCAAATGTATGTTAATAATTAACTATAAAATTTGAAGAACTATTTTACAATGGAAAATAGAACTTAAAAATAATATCTTGGAGTTAAATACTCCCAGTTATTGTAGATCCAGTCATAGCTACAATACTATCAAGTAATACATTAAATAATAGTGATACTTTAATATTTCCAGAAAGATTATTTTAATCTGGTGTTTTATATAAATTTGGAGCTTAGATTGAAAGTTTTGCAAAATTATAGAATTTATAGACATTTTAATTTTAAGTTTCATAATAATCTACAATTACTTTTAAATAAGATACACTTATAAATCAATACAATAGATTTTAGAATATCTAAATTCCAAATAAAATATTATATTCAAATTGTATAGAGAAAGATCCTCCAGAATAATTATTATATTATGAGATTATATTAAAAAATACAAAGAAAAGATTAATAAATGGGACATTAACAGATAATTTAGTTGATGGATTCTAATTTGATGTTCTTTTAGAATTTACACCATTTTATTTCAATTTCACAAATCCTTATATTCTTGTGTTTAATACTAAGTTAACTAGATCTGATTATACAACAAGTAGTCAAAGTACATTTGAATTATTTATTGTTCCTTCAACACCTATTTTAACAATAGCAGGAGGAAACAGAATGTTGGGATTTACATAAGAATTATATTTAAATACAACTATAACAGATAAAGATTTAACAACTGAAGAAGTAGCTAAAGTAACATATACATGTTATTGGATGTGTGAGGATATAGTTAATGGAACTGCTTGTTAAAATCAATTGAATGAAACTATTATTTTTGATAATAATTGCAATTAATTTATTCCTTCTAGAACATTTGAACCATATAAAGCTGTTAATTTTTAGGTAGAAATAATAAAAGAGAATGTTAATTATTCAACCAAAGTTTCAATTTAATTTATAGAATTAGATTTACCTGCTTTAACTATATAAGGAGTTGATCCTTTGGCACTTCATAATTATTATGATGAATTTATTTTCAAACTTACTTATCCTGGTATTGATCCAGATGTTTTAATGTATGCAGGAGCTGTTATTTATGATTAAGTAGTTTAAGCTACATTTTAATTTTATTATTTAGATTTTAAATTTAAAATTCAAGATTATTTCACTAATTTTGATATAGTCAAAGGTAATGCTGGTAGATTGAGATTATCTGTTTATGATCCTAGATTTATTATGCCATCATTAAATACTTAAATGTTAACTTTAAATATACCACCATAAAAATGTGAATTAAGTTATGAGAAGAAAGAGAGTTTTGTTGAATTCTTAGATTATCTTGAAGTAAATGTTATAAATTGTGAAGATGTTGATACTCCATTAAAATATTCAGTTATGTTATTTCCAAATTAATCTATTTATAAGACAGATCTTGAGAACTCAAAATTTTATCATTACTTTCTTATAATACCTCCACAAAATAATTCTAAATTTAATTTAACACTCCCTTATTCTAATAATCATGATAGTCTCATTGTTGTAAATATAGAAGATTAACAAGGTGGAATTGTAAATATTACTGAACTTATACAAATCAAATAATATGCAAATTTAAGTGAAGATAATATAAGAAATTATTAATTAAGATTGCATAGTTTTGATGAATAATTGATAGGATATTCTATAATTACTAATAGACTTACTTAATTTAATGGTTTAATTGATTACAAAGAAGAATTATTTAATGAATTATTAGATATTGATAAAAATGATACCTTTTTAAGTAATCAAACTGAAACACTATATCATTCATTATCTAATATATTGAGTTAAAATGTTAGTTTAATATCTTTGAATGAAACTCATTTATTGAATTAATTAAATTATAGAATAAAATTGGCAGCAGCAGAACTAATACGATTAACTGACTTATAAAATAATAATAAATTGACTTCCATATAAAATATAGAGAAAACTAATTTTGTGAAATAGTATTATACATACACTCATATTCTATCATCTTATATTAATTATAGAGTCAATTAAAATTAAACAGCAACAGAAATCTAATCACAACTTGATTCCATGATTAATTACTTATAGGACATTAGTGTAGCCAATGAACCTATGTATAAAGTATCATCAAATTCAGTCAATATGAATTTTGGATTCTTAACATCCAAACTTGCAAATGAGGCCACTGGATCTACTATAAAAGATACTAGTTAAAATAGATTATTAGAAGCAGAAGCAGATACATCTAATGCAAATTATAGTTAAACTACTAATTTCTTCAAATTCTCATAAACTCGTTTTATTGATAATCCATTTTATAGTTCAGCTGGATTTCCTAAAAATAGCAGTGGCTATTAAGCTGTCGATCCTAAATTAGCTATTAAGAATGCCACAGAAACAACCAAAAATATGACATCTAGTATGAAGATGAAATTTCCAACTGCCAAATAATTACCTACTAACACTTCCACTAAATGTATAGCACAAGTAGATTCTGGAAGTTGGAATGCAGATGTTTGCAAAACTAAAAAAGCTGAAGGAGAAACTATATGTGAATGTGAATCTTTGAATCCTACTTCCATCATGGAATCCTTAGATTATTTGCTTGATAAAGCTTCTTAAGTTTATTCATTAGATACTCTACTTGCATTTGCATCCTTCCCCTTTTACAAAACAATTGTATTTTACTTTTATCTATTTATGACTGGAGGCTATGCTTATGTAGTTTATTGGGGAATGAAGGTAGATCATGTCATGTACACAAAAATAGCAATTGAAAAAGAAGCCTTAGAATAAAAGATTAAAGAAGAAGAAGAAAAACTCAAGTAATAAGAATAGTAATAAGAAGATGAAAAGAAAGAAGACCATGATGGAGCTTTGCGGATAGAACATATTGATACATAAAATGATGCAAATCAAAGCAAAGCCATGTTAGAAAAATAAGAATTTAATGATGTTCAACCAAATTATTAAGAAGGAAATACAATCTTTAATAGAAATAGAGTACCATAATTAACTTAAGCAGAAGCAAACATACAGAGAGATCAAGCACCTACTTTGGTTGAAATTACTGATCAAACTTAATTAATATAACCTAATACTAATAAAGCCAAAAGTGGTTTATAAGTGATTTCCTCTGATGAAAATGCACATGTAGCAGTAGATGTTTAGAATGCTACTGTTAATTCACAAATATCTCCAGAGAATAAGGCTGAAAACTCTCCCTCTGATTAACCACTTCAATAGGAACCTGAGGCTCAAAAGACTAAACCAGATGAAAATATAGTTTAATAATCCATTTCTAAGATAAAAGCTTACATTGAATATCTTAAATATTTCCATCAAATCTTGTCAATTGTATATAAAGATGATGAAGAAAAACCTAGAGGTTTAAGGGCATCAATAGTCTATACTAGTATTATGGGTAGTTTAGCTGTACTCTTTGTCTTCGGTCAACCCGATAATATTAGTCTTACTCTTACATTAGCTCTTCTTACTGCCCCTGTGAATAAAATTTATTAAGTTTTACTTGAAAAGATGTTAGCACATAAGAAAAAGTCTGTGAGAATAGGAGGTGCTATTGTTATGATAGTTACTGCTGCATTTATATCTTATACTATGCTTGCTGGTTTAGTATTAAGTGGTTCAGTAGAAACAGCCAATTAATGGAGTTATATTTTTATTGGAACCTTTAGTTTAGATAATCTCATTTACTCTCCAATTCAATTAGTGCTTTAATATGGTGTTCATATGGGATTGATTAATATGCCAATTATTCAAAAAATATTGAATAAATTATTAGATTCCAAAGCTAAGGAATTCCTTAGAAGAATATTTACCAGAAGAAGATGATATTATAGATTTTAATGTATTTTTGTAATTGATCATTATTTAATAATCATTTCAATATTATTTTATTTTTAATTAATTCAATTTTCAATATTTGCAAAATGATTGGTTTATTAATAATCTCTAAATTAATTATTTAGTGATCATCTATTTGTTATCTTGTAGTTAGTTTTTTGAATTTAATTTATAAATAATTTAATTTATAAATACTTTTAGTATTTATATAATTTTCTGATAAAATCCAAATCAAATTCTCTTTTTTATCATTATTATACCAACCAATCTTATTCCTGTTATTTATAGCCTATTTATAGTCCTTTTATTGTAACTAAATATTAAATTGAAACAAAAACTTGTAATCATATATGATATCTTTTACTTTAATATTGTAAACAACAAGGAACTGTTTTCTTAATATTTGCTCCCATTTTTAAAAAATAGAGTTAGGTTATGGTACTTCTCTATCAAATTAAAAAAATGTTTAAACAAATATATCAATACTTATATTAGTGGATTATTTAGTAGAAATGTATATAAGAGAGGATGCTTTAGGACAACCAAAAGTGAGGAGAGAGTTTATATTGATATCTATGATTGTATTAGTTTTACTTCAATAAGTTACTCTAAATCATTCATTTATAGAATCTTCCTATAATGTGAGATGATAAAAGCCTTAGTATTCTCATCAAGGAGATTTATATAAAGGAATTCTAATTCAAAGAAAAAAAAGTGCTGTTATTAAATTGTTTGGCTTTTAAATAAATATGAAATAATTTTTGAAACATAGATTCTATATGTTCTTAGTAGTTTTATGAGTTAGATAAATGGGCACAGTTATTGCCATAGTTGATTATGCTATTGTTGAGTTAAGAATAATAGTATATGATGTGAATAAATGGATAAAAGTAATTTCAATTTATGATTGATATTAGATTGAATGCAAGTCATAATTATATTATCAAAGTGGTGTGACAAAGAAATTCTATAGAATACAATTATTGATTAGATTAAAACTGATGTTCTGTTAAGTTTTAGTTTTCATCTCTATTTAACTGATTTTATTTGTTGCTAGTTCTTTTTTAAAAGCATCTATTAAGAAATTCAAAACTAAATAAGAGGTCTTTAAATAATTAATCAAAATTAATAAACCTTAAAATAATAACAATTCCTTCATTTTTATTACCAAATTAGCTGGAAAGACTAATAGAGCCAATCTTTATTATTGGAATAAATTTTCTCTATCCAGCTCAAGTCTTGATACTGAACCAAGTTATTAAAATATTTTAGAAATTCCAGTAAACTTTAGACAAGACATTAAAATATGTTATCATAATCAATAATTTATAGTGTCATAAAGAATAAATAAAGAAATTGATATAGTTTAAGGTATTTCAGGATTCATAGAGCATATACAATATTAATGCATCTAAAGATAATATGAAAGAATTGAAGGAATTGAAAAAGTGATGTAATTGGGTACAAACGTTTCGATGCATAAAAGAATCTAAGTTAGATAAAATTTGGCAGATTTTATAGGCTAATGAATTTGTCTATAGAAATATTAAATTGGTTCATATTGATTTTTGTGATTCAAAATAAAGACCTTGACAATTATGTGAATGATGGTTGAGTGGGTAAAAATTCTGGAATTGGATTTTATAAATATTGAGTTAATAAATTTAAAAAATATTAAAAACGATGATGAAAAAATCTACAGAATGTAATAAATCTATAGTATTTAAGTTTTTAAGAACTTAGATATTTTTGGATAAAACATACAATTGAATTTTAATGGATAGAATTAATACTAAACAGCAACTGGTGGATTTTTCTCACTTGCTATTATTGCTGTTATAGCATTCTTTTTTTAACAGAACATCATTGATTTTCTGAATAGAGTTGAAATTCATCTTAACACATAGACAATATTTGATTTCAATCCAGACAGTATTTAATTTAATGAGGATAATTATATGTTTGCATTAGCAGTAGATTAACCTAACTTCATTGGCCGTCCTTTCTTCAACATCACTATCAAATAACGTATATATACACGATCCCCTAATGGAACATTAAATAAAGATGATAGATTCATAGATCTTATTCCATGCACTTAAGATCGATTTCAAAAGATATTTAAGGATTAAGATTTTTCTTCCTAATTTTCTTAACTCAAACTAGAGGAATGGTTATGTCCTGAATTGAATTATTCAATCATTTTAGGTGGCAGCTTTACAAGTGACGTTTTTGAGTTTGTAAAAATAACTGTTAGTGATTGTTCCAATAATTCAAATTCAAATTCCATTCTTTCATGGAAACCTGAATGTGCTAGTACTTAAGCAAGAGATCGTTATCTCTAATAAGAACGTTCATTTAGAATTAGAATGTATATCTCTATTATCATTTATTTAGGTATATGACAAATAATGTCATCAATCCATTATAAGTGAAAAATGTGTCTTAAACTTTTTTTGATGATGAATCTTATTTCTCATTTTTACTTTAAACAGGAACAGAAGCAGATGTCTTTTATTAGAAATACAATATTACTACTGATGATCACATAATTCCTTTACTAAATTAAGTAGATGAAGAAGTAATCAATGTAAAAAGAGCAGGAGATTTTAAAACTAAAATTGTTTAAAATAATGATTAATAATTTTCAGCTATCTATTTGAGAAGAAGTCCATATACCTATATTATTAGAAGAGAATTATAGGATATTGCTGATTTATTATCTTATCTTGGAGGATTTGCTAATATTGTTGCAATTATATTTGGAGTCATTATTAAAACCTATAATAAATCAAGATGTATAAATTTTAATGATCTATTTAGTTATGATTGAATTGGCTAATCATGTATATGATTTTCCTATGAAAAATGCTAGTGTTGCAGAATCTCAAGAAAGAAAAGAAATCAAGAAAACAATAGCAAAAGCAAAAAGTAGAACTATTGTTGTTTAACATTAAGATTAAGATTTACAATCTCCTATATAATCATATAAGCATTCATAAAATTAATTATTATTATATGATACAAAATAATAGGAATAATATAATATATCAAAACAAGATGAAATATATTAAGTCAAATCAGAATTATAGATTACTAATCGTCAAGAAGAATAATAATTATTCTAATAGGAATAAGAAAAAATTATAAAACAATTAGGAATTCAANAACTGGTGGATTTTTCTCACTTGCTATTATTGCTGTTATAGCATTCTTTTTTTAACAGAACATCATTGATTTTCTGAATAGAGTTGAAATTCATCTTAACACATAGACAATATTTGATTTCAATCCAGACAGTATTTAATTTAATGAGGATAATTATATGTTTGCATTAGCAGTAGATTAACCTAACTTCATTGGCCGTCCTTTCTTCAACATCACTATCAAATAACGTATATATACACGATCCCCTAATGGAACATTAAATAAAGATGATAGATTCATAGATCTTATTCCATGCACTTAAGATCGATTTCAAAAGATATTTAAGGATTAAGATTTTTCTTCCTAATTTTCTTAACTCAAACTAGAGGAATGGTTATGTCCTGAATTGAATTATTCAATCATTTTAGGTGGCAGCTTTACAAGTGACGTTTTTGAGTTTGTAAAAATAACTGTTAGTGATTGTTCCAATAATTCAAATTCAAATTCCATTCTTTCATGGAAACCTGAATGTGCTAGTACTTAAGCAAGAGATCGTTATCTCTAATAAGAACGTTCATTTAGAATTAGAATGTATATCTCTATTATCATTTATTTAGGTATATGACAAATAATGTCATCAATCCATTATAAGTGAAAAATGTGTCTTAAACTTTTTTTGATGATGAATCTTATTTCTCATTTTTACTTTAAACAGGAACAGAAGCAGATGTCTTTTATTAGAAATACAATATTACTACTGATGATCACATAATTCCTTTACTAAATTAAGTAGATGAAGAAGTAATCAATGTAAAAAGAGCAGGAGATTTTAAAACTAAAATTGTTTAAAATAATGATTAATAATTTTCAGCTATCTATTTGAGAAGAAGTCCATATACCTATATTATTAGAAGAGAATTATAGGATATTGCTGATTTATTATCTTATCTTGGAGGATTTGCTAATATTGTTGCAATTATATTTGGAGTCATTATTAAAACCTATAATAAATCAAGATGTATAAATTTTAATGATCTATTTAGTTATGATTGAATTGGCTAATCATGTATATGATTTTCCTATGAAAAATGCTAGTGTTGCAGAATCTCAAGAAAGAAAAGAAATCAAGAAAACAATAGCAAAAGCAAAAAGTAGAACTATTGTTGTTTAACATTAAGATTAAGATTTACAATCTCCTATATAATCATATAAGCATTCATAAAATTAATTATTATTATATGATACAAAATAATAGGAATAATATAATATATCAAAACAAGATGAAATATATTAAGTCAAATCAGAATTATAGATTACTAATCGTCAAGAAGAATAATAATTATTCTAATAGGAATAAGAAAAAATTATAAAACAATTAGGAATTCAAGATCGGAAGAGTTACTTTACTTAATAAATTTAAAAGATATTAAGCAGAAGTAAACCTTTATTGTTTAATTGCAAATACATTCTATCTAAATTCTTTTGCTCTAAATTATTTTATGATCGTAATAGTATCTTACTCCGTAAAGCTATGTAATAAATTTTATTCATTATTTTAGTAAAAAAATAAATAAAGATTTGGATATTTGTGTGATCTTAGATACAGTCAAAGAAATTAATTTGATTAAAGAATTATTATTAACTCAAGATTAATTAGTTTTATTTGATTTTGCTCCAAAATAAGTAATTAATCTTTAGGATGAGGAACAAAAAAGTATGACAAGAAGTTTAGTAAGAAGAAGTTTGGAAAGCATGAGAACAAATTCAAATTCATAAGAAAGTTAATAATAAAATGAAACAATACTTGCTTATTATAAATTATTTTAGGTAATACTATTTTTAATTTATATATAGGCATATGATCATATTCATTAATCTTTATAATAGAACAATAAAATTAATGAGAAATTGATTGAGAAATTAGGTTAAGAAGTAAAAGATATCTTTGAAGTTTCTCATTTCATTTAATGGGATAATAAATCAATTAAATGTCTAAAAGATGATGTATAGAGTGATTCAGTTAATTCAGATCCACTTTGTATTAATAACATTGAATAAATAAAGATCAATATGAATATAAATACATGAATAAACATATATATATATATATATATTATAATGATTAATTTAAATAAATTAGATGTCATACTATTATAATAAATAATAAGATTAAGCATTATTATTACCTAATGGATACTAATAATAATAAAATTCTGATATTTAAACAAAATAAACAAATTATCAATATTTCTTATAGTAAGCAATTACATAATAATAAAAAGAGGATAATTTTTAAATAAAAATCATCCCCAAAAATCATATAATTCATCATAGAAATCGAATCTTCTAAGATATACCTGAAATTAAAGTTAGATAAGAATTATACTAAACAAGATACAAATCTACACCAGGTAAAAGAAACTAAATATTCAATTAAGATTATAGTATTGATTAAACTCATTAAAATATTATTTAATAATAGTAAATAAGTACAGTTTCAAACAATAATATTAAATCTTTAATTTTATCAGAAATTGATACTATTAAACAAAAGTCTTAACTATATTCTATAACATATTCAGAATTATTATAAAAAGTATAACATAATATCAAATTAGTTAATTTAAATTTTTGAGAGTAAAAAAGAGTATTAAAATTTGTAAATGGATCCTGAATTCAATAATATTTTATTTAAAATACGAACATTTTAAGGTCTTGATATTACTAGGAAAATATAAATCGAAAAAATCATAAAGGATATAGTGAATTAAGATGAGAAATTATTATTTTAAGGATTAGTTAAAGATATAATATAAAATGATTGGATGTATTGGATAGAACCATTATATTTTGATATATAAAAATAATAAATACCAAAAGAACAATGGAAATCATTCATTGAAAAACAAAAATAAATTTATAAAATATGATAGTTTTTCCATATTTAATATTTATTATTATCTATTGAATTCTGAAATAATTTTGATACCTAATAATATGTTGTATTACTGAATTAATATAAGTTTATATATGTGCTTTGTTAGAGAAGGATAAATAAATTGCAATCATAATTATTTAATTATGTTTAATTCTTACTCATATGAAAAATAACTTGCCTTATCTAAAGAAATTGATAAGATTAAGAAAGGATATATGAAGGAACGAGAAGTTCGTAAAGGTATAGCTGATTGAATAAATAAAGAATNGTACTATTTTTAATTTATATATAGGCATATGATCATATTCATTAATCTTTATAATAGAACAATAAAATTAATGAGAAATTGATTGAGAAATTAGGTTAAGAAGTAAAAGATATCTTTGAAGTTTCTCATTTCATTTAATGGGATAATAAATCAATTAAATGTCTAAAAGATGATGTATAGAGTGATTCAGTTAATTCAGATCCACTTTGTATTAATAACATTGAATAAATAAAGATCAATATGAATATAAATACATGAATAAACATATATATATATATATATATTATAATGATTAATTTAAATAAATTAGATGTCATACTATTATAATAAATAATAAGATTAAGCATTATTATTACCTAATGGATACTAATAATAATAAAATTCTGATATTTAAACAAAATAAACAAATTATCAATATTTCTTATAGTAAGCAATTACATAATAATAAAAAGAGGATAATTTTTAAATAAAAATCATCCCCAAAAATCATATAATTCATCATAGAAATCGAATCTTCTAAGATATACCTGAAATTAAAGTTAGATAAGAATTATACTAAACAAGATACAAATCTACACCAGGTAAAAGAAACTAAATATTCAATTAAGATTATAGTATTGATTAAACTCATTAAAATATTATTTAATAATAGTAAATAAGTACAGTTTCAAACAATAATATTAAATCTTTAATTTTATCAGAAATTGATACTATTAAACAAAAGTCTTAACTATATTCTATAACATATTCAGAATTATTATAAAAAGTATAACATAATATCAAATTAGTTAATTTAAATTTTTGAGAGTAAAAAAGAGTATTAAAATTTGTAAATGGATCCTGAATTCAATAATATTTTATTTAAAATACGAACATTTTAAGGTCTTGATATTACTAGGAAAATATAAATCGAAAAAATCATAAAGGATATAGTGAATTAAGATGAGAAATTATTATTTTAAGGATTAGTTAAAGATATAATATAAAATGATTGGATGTATTGGATAGAACCATTATATTTTGATATATAAAAATAATAAATACCAAAAGAACAATGGAAATCATTCATTGAAAAACAAAAATAAATTTATAAAATATGATAGTTTTTCCATATTTAATATTTATTATTATCTATTGAATTCTGAAATAATTTTGATACCTAATAATATGTTGTATTACTGAATTAATATAAGTTTATATATGTGCTTTGTTAGAGAAGGATAAATAAATTGCAATCATAATTATTTAATTATGTTTAATTCTTACTCATATGAAAAATAACTTGCCTTATCTAAAGAAATTGATAAGATTAAGAAAGGATATATGAAGGAACGAGAAGTTCGTAAAGGTATAGCTGATTGAATAAATAAAGAATTAAATAATCGATTGGCATAGAATTATAGGAAAAGAGTGGAAAATTTTGTAATCAATATGCTTGAGACTCCTGTTGTTTGTGCTGAATATAAACAACCTAATACTTAAGCATTTAGATAAGAAGATCCTAGTAAGAATTTGGGTGATCCACAATTTTATGTTAAGGGTTTCAAACATGAGAAAGATCGTATCCAAGAAGCTTTAGATAGAAACAAAGATCTTGACTTTCTTCCTAATCGATAAGTTGCTCATTATTGTTTTCGTGAAAGGGATCCATCTAAAGATATTAAACGTGATGTGTTTCGATATAGAGATAAAACTAGTTTAGAAAGAATAGAACAGTTTTTAAAGGATCATACATAAACTTAAGTGGAAAACTAGAAATTCAGTAAAAAGAAAGTTCTTAATATTGAAAATCTTTCAGAAAATATGAGTTCATTAGACAGGAAAGCATATTTAAGCAGATTGATTGCCAAAAATTTACTTCCTAGTTTACATTAAAAAACACACTTTTAAGCAGCAGCAACTATGTTTAATAATTTACCATGTATACTCCTTGTGTTAATTTTCTAGTATCTCTTATGGATCATGCAAGATCAGCTCCATTATTAAAATAAGTAGAATCAGATGAAAAAAGTATAAATTATATATACTAATTATTTTAGAATCTCAATAATAATAAAGAGATGTTTAAAAAACTGAAGAAATGGAATAAAAAGATAATAAAATTAAATAAGGTAATGAATTAGAGACCTTTAATCCTATTGAGACATCTAAATCTGTTTTAGAAAAATGTAATGTCATTCGCGGTAAGAATCCTAAAATTAGTACAATTCATAAAGGATAAGGACATTTAATCTCTACATTAGATAAATCAATCTAAGAAATATATAAGGATATTTATGGAATAGATTTAAGTTAAGGTAAGTTTTTTTAAAAATGAATTTATTATAATTACAATTAAATCTTCAATTAGAAGATTATATTAATATAATTAATATTTTTAAAGATCTATTATTAAATAAATCTTAACATCTATATGTTTTGATCCTATATTGAGTCAAATAAAATATATCAATATCATTACCAATATATATATATAAAGTTAATTAATTAATAAGATATATCATGTAATAATTTAAAATGTCTAATTAAATTTATATATATATATAATAAATTGATTGATTCATCAACTATCCAATAATAGGTTAGTATTCTATGTTTTATTTTTTTTCTATCTATAATAGATATATATTCCTCCTCCAATCAAAAGTACACCAAGAATTATAACTATAATAGCCCAAATAGGAAATTTTCCTTTATCTTCAGGAGTAGGAGGTACATATTCTTTTATTGTTATCTATTCTTCTATAGAAATCTATTAATCTGTATTAGATATCTTAAAATTCATTGAATCTTCAAAACTAATTTCTTCTGTACATAATTAATATGATCTTAACAAAGAATAATGTTATAATTTGATTTAATTTTGTGTTGATGTTAATAAATGTAGGTTACCATTATAAGTATAAATAAAGGACACAATTTAAGAATTTAATTCTAAGCTCTTTTCAAGAGATGGTAAACGTGCTATAACATTTTTAGGTTTAGTATTATTACTTGGTGTTTCCATATCATATATCAACAATTCATAATGAGTTATGGCATTATAAATTAATAATAGAATATTTTCATTTGATTAAAATGAAGGATAAAAATCATATAATTACCAATCTTTATATTATTAATATAATCCATTAAATTTAAACTTAGCTATTTCACATAATTCATTTCTTGAACAATCCATTTCATAATAAAAAGAATATGATGCACTATTCTTAAAGATTATAGTAATTTCATTTTTTCTTAAAACAAATCCAGCTGATAATTAAATTTCTTATAAATTTATCTTTTATTCAGTAATTAATGAATCAATCATAAATCTAACAAAATAATTTTTTGTTGAAGTTCTACTAATTTCTCTCATTTAGAATTCAGGATTACCCCAATTATCAACTGAAATAAATTAATATACATTTCCTTATAAATGATTAAATTCCATTTACTTAATGTAAATATACTAAGGGAAATTTTAAAATAATTCAAACTATTCTAAATTTGTTTGATCTCCTTTTGTATCATAAACTTGAATCTATTTTCCATCATATAAAAAGAAATTATTTTAATGAAGAAAAACCTTTTTCATTTGATATGAAACTTTTAATTTATTATCCAATAAAATACAATCTTTATAATCCTTACATTAAATAATTCTTAACCAAATAGATTCTTATGTTTCAGCTTAAACATATATATTTTCTCCTACAATCAATAAAATATCTGTAAATTAATAAGCTTAATCTAATTTAAATTCTCTATATGTAAAATCCTCTTTTTTTACAAGATTAAGTTTATTAGACATTAATTATACTAATCTACTACTGTTAAGTTCTTATATTTATGGACTAAATTCTAATATTTCTTCTTCTTTAGTTAAAGGTGGATTAAATTTAATCTTTGTTGACTAATTTACAATTTCAATATCAAAAACTTAACCTGAATACCAATCTTAACCTAAATATACACATTTTATAGTATCATTATTCTTTTGATATTCTAAATTAATTTTATCTCTTAACGATAAAATTTTGTCACCTCTATTTACACTATTTATAAAAATTGATTAAACAAGTTTATTTGATAAATCATTAGTAACTTCAAAATCTAATTAGATCTATCTTGTATATGATATTTATTAATAATTTCGATTTAATTTGCTTGTAATTAAAAGATCACCAGTAATGTAATAATTTTCTATCTATTTATTAACAATATCTGTATTAAGCACATAGGTATCTGCTACTGAGAATATGGTTGAAGTACTTATATTAATTTAATAAAATAATGTATCTAAACTATTTGATGTAATCTTATAGACTAAAATAACTTAGCTTAAACTTTACTTATTATATCCATGAATATAAAATAGATTTCTTTCAAATGAATATTCAAGTGTAGATAATTTAATATTAGAATAATAATTAAATAATATTTGTTTCTCCATATATATATTTCTTTTATTTGCATAATTAAAGACTGTCACAATATATTCATCTTTATTGATTGGTTTAGTGAATCTCAAAAAATGATTTTTAAAAATAGCTAAATTTGATTCTGATTATTCAAATTAAATAGTATCATACCAAATAAGAGTTTATAAATCATATTCAATATCATATAAAGATAAATTAAATTCTTATTCAATAAATAATTGATTTTTTACATATTATGATGCATATATTTTTTAAGCAACAATATCAAAATTATTTGTTAATTTAAATTTATCTGCAATTGTAATTTCATAAATTTTTATTTATTATTCAATTAATACAAATAAATGAAAACCATCTGTTACTATTTATTTTATATTACTTTCTAAATTAATTGTAGTTAAAATTTCAAAATTATTTGTTTATGTTGATAAACTATAGATTGTAATAATTTTCTCTACAAATGTTGCAAAGAATAATGATTCATTATTTGACCACCATAATTATTCAAATGAATTCTATAACTATTTAAAATTATCATTTGTAAAAAGGACTTTACAACTAAGTTCAAGATTACCTACACATAAATAACCTTTCATTTATAGATCGGCATCTTCTTAAATAAGATAAAATATCTTTTCTCCATTTCCTTTTAATATTTTTCGATAACCTAATTCTTGATTCTCAGAAACACCATTAATCTAAAAAATTTTATGTTTATCAATTTCAATTTTAATTAAACTATTAGCTTGAAATTGATATTTTAAATTAGAACCTTAAAATATAGGTCTTATATTGATTTCATTACTATCTATATTAATACCTCCTGCTATTAACCCTTAAGAATATTAAGATTATAAAATCTTTGAATATCCAAAATCTTCAGTTTTATAAAATATAATTATTTCACAATTTTTTGGATAAGACTCTTAAATTAAAGTGGCCTTTTAATAATTATCACTAATTGTAGAAATTAATGATAATTATAAAGAATAATTATCATTTATTGCATAAGCAGCCACTCTAGTATTTGATATAAATATAAAACCTTCTGCATTTGGATTTGTATTTATAAAAATTTCTTCATCATCAAATTTAAGATTGTATATTTTTTTTAATTTTTGATTTAATAATGTTACTGTGTTATTATTAAATAAGAGTATATTTTTTTTAGTTATATATATTTTATATAAAACATCTTAATTTTAGATATCTGCTATTTACTGTTCTTAATCCCTATTTTAATACAAGATTTTATTTTTTGATATTATACCATAAGTATTGGTGTAGATATTATAATCATACCCTTAGACATCATTTAATTTAGTTTCAATTATTTTAATTAAATTCCATGAGTTATTTTGGTATTAAACAATAATAATTTCACCATAAGCATTCATTATACTAAGTTATACATTTGTATGAATTTGAAAATCCTTGATTAATAATTTAAATGAGTCTTTTTTTAAAAGTTCTTTTAACGTGTTTTCATCTAACGTATTTAAATACTTTAAATTATTTTCTTCTTCAATATATATATAAATTTTATTTGCAGTTCCTCTAAACATATAATTGTCAATTTAGTCCATTTTTCTGAAATCTGAGATTGGTTTATCAATATCAAGATAACTTGTCTTTGTTGAATTTATTATAATCAAATAGCTATTTTTCTATTCATCTTCACATTCGGCAATAGTCAATTTATCTATTAATATAACATCATAACAAATAGATTAGGTTTTTGTTTTGCATTAATTTATCGATGTGATAACAGGTAGATTTTAGTAATATCCTATATTTGACTCAATATAGTAAATTCCATTAACAACTACTAATATTGTTATGTGATTAAGTGGATCACGACTCAAAGTGGATTTCTAGAGTTTTTAAGAAATTGTTTTTGAGTTTGAGATAGCGTTATTGGGTATTTCTGAATATTTAGATATTGGAGTTTCTATTGTTAAGTATTTATTGGGTTGCTTTAAGGTAATTCTTTCATAATCATCATGATGAAATATAGATGAAAGTGGAACATTAATTACTTCTTGTAAAGTACCTGTGAGGAAGATTGTATTGTTATTAAGATAGGAGCATTAGTATGCTAGGATGATCATTTAAGTCAAAAGGAATTAAACTTTAGTCATTTTATTTTATTAAAATGTGGAATTTAATTAATAAGCTTTATATATAAATTATGAATACATAAGGAAAAAACAATTAATTAAACCTAAATTCTACATAAAATTTAAAAATAATTAATTTTTAATTATAATAATATTAATATTAATGCTATTAAATATTTATTTATATAATAAATTAATTTATTATAACTGTAATTATTTAGGATTTTTAATAAATAAAAAATAAATCATCTATTTGATTATTTTAATTTCATCTTATTATATAAGATAACATAAAATAGAGTCATAATGAAAATAAAATAAATCTATTTTTCAACATTTTAATAATTGTTACATTATTGAAAATTTATTAATATATATTGATATTATTTATCAATTAATAAAGGAGTAAAAATAAAATAAAAATGAGAATTCATTTAATCATAGATTAATTCAAATCTCTGTATTCCATACTTATAATTCCAATTGGTTATTCTTCTTCTTATTAGTTTATTTATTTCTTTTTAAGTTTATCAATAAATCTAGTATTTTAATCTCCTTGAATGTAATTGGAAATGTCAAATACATCTTTGACTTCTTAACCTAGTTTCTCAATCAAAACTTTGTTGAATGGATTATTTTTTTCATCTGATAATGCTACCCTTTCATATGCTGAATATAGTTTATAATAGATTTGCATTCCAGGAGTGACAAACTAACCTTTTTTAAACTTTTTATCTAACATCATTTTAGCCACATCTTCAAATTAAACTCCAAGTGTTTTTGTATATTATCGTCTATGTTAATTTAATTAAATACTTATTCTCTCTTCTTCCAGATTATTATCTATCATTTTCAATAGAGATAACTTCTTTAGGAGCAAAATTAAACAAAATTTTTTGATCTTTATTTAATAATAATTCTTTAATCAATTCTATTTCCTTTACTTTATCAATTAATACACAAATGTCAATATCTTAATTAATTTTATTACTATTTTTAATTAAATTTAATACATAGCCTTATTTAATAAAATTGAATTGTGATCCTGAAAGAATTTGCCACAAAATATTTAATGTAATAAAAATTTGAAAGTAAAAACAATAGGTCTACTTCGATCAAGCATAACTTAAATTTATTTAGTCAAATATTCTTTTCTATTACGATGACCTAATTTACTAATTATACTTTATTAAATTTATTTGATAGATTTTTTCTTTGATATATCAGTCTTATCTTTTGGTTCTTAATATTACATTGCATTCTCTTTTACAATTTCAGATACATCTATT